TCCAAACTGCAGAAGATCAAAAGCAATTAATACTTGCTCTACTAAGTCTGCAGAATCACCGATCTTCCCTTTATCGACTTGGCTAAAAATTGACATGGTGGTCTACTCATGTAGAACTCTCGAGTAGTCTGTGTGCCCCAAAGCGAGTACATTAGTCAGCGAAATATATCGTTTATCGTGCTTGAATGTCCATCTGCAAGCACCATTAATTGATTTCCACCTAATGGATAAGAAGCTGAAAATGAAAAATGAAGAGACAGGTGGACGGATGCACCAAAACGTGACAAATAGTCGGAAGTTGTGAGCCTAGAACAAAAATGTAAAGTTGCAAATTCCGCCACCTGACCTGATTAGATGCAGATTGTTCTGCCTAAAATCGGCCAACTACTGATACTTCTGACGATGCCTCCAAGGTGTCAGCGAATGTGCCAGCTACAATTTAAAAAAAGGGAAGAGAACCAGCCATGTTTGTGGCTCATTTGTGCACTGCTCCATGAAGACTAATCCTATTTGTGGCGGGTAGCGCCTGGCCAGTTGACGCTTCCCGGACTCAGCATGGATCTAAACAAGGTATCGACAGAGAAGTCTAATAAGGTTCCAGAAAAGCCGGATCACGAGAGCCAGATACTCTGTTGCGAAAGACACCCGGAGAATCTCAAACGCGAATTTGACGCTAGCTTTAAGGGTCCGATTGACACACGATCGTGAACTGATATTGTTTGTCTCCTTATTTTCCTCCTTTTCATCAGCGGCCAGATTGTGGTAGCCTATTTCGCCTTCAGCCAAGGCGACGCCAACTGACAGTCAAGGCAAGCTCTGTGGGCCAGTAGATGTGGTTAACCGAACGAAGCTATTCTTTTTTGACCCAGTCAGCCGTGCAAAGATGGGACCGGCAGTCGTCTTTACTGGCTGTCCAACGCCGAAGACTTTCGTGTCTGAGTGCCACAAAGTCATTTGGTTATTCCTCTCTCTGCTGCTGAAGAGCGCCTTCCTGACTCCCATTCCGAAGCAGAAAAGCGGGCCAGTCAACTGATTTGTATTGACTCTTTTGAAGCTCGTGGCAACCATTCAGTATCCGTGGGACAACTCGTGGATTCGGTCACCTGCGCCGCCTAATATGTGGCCTCAAGTGACCCATTCAATCTGTGCTTGCCCCGTTTCCTCATCGAAGGCATCGAGGTCGTCGACGACCCGGTCGACCAAGCCAGTCTGTCCCTCAAAGACGCCAACGGGTTCAACTTGACTGCCTCAGCTCTGGCCGAGGACAAACATTTGGCCTGCTGGCTTTCCTGACTTCTGCCAACACTGCAATGCTGATTATGGCCGACCTCGTGGCCGCTTGGTACTGGATTTTGGTGGCCATTTTTTTGGGCGGCCCTATTGTTTTTCTTGATTGTATAGCTCTTCGGTTCCGCGTAACACTATTCATTTGTACGAAAAAAAGTTGGGTTTCGAGGAATCTTTTGTTTCATAATTGTTCAGCTTACTTCCATTTCGAGTGGAAGTGTTGGGTGAAGAGATTCGAAGGTTGGTTGCACCAGAAGACGACGGCGGATTCCTCTTGACCAGCTGTCGATTGGCTTTACTGGAA